ATTATTAATGTGAATATTATTTTTATATAATGAATTCGTTAACATTATATTATTATATAATTCTAATTTAAAAATATGCTCGCTATAAACAATTTTCATGACACGATCGAATTGTCTTTTTTTTGTTTTAAATCACTCTGTAGCTTTATAAAAATTCAAATTTATAAGCGCCTTTCCACCCACAACACAGTGTTGAGTCATGTGACCTGGGACTCACTACATCAAAGGTGCCAACGTTCAATGCCCATACTGTATGTATTTATACTGTGACGTAGATTTAAAGCAGTATCCTGATCAGTTTAAGTTCATGTCTTAAGATTACTGTTAAAGCCTACATTGATCGTAGATGTCGCAAGTTACAAACTTGTCACTTTAGCCAATCCGATACTTTAATTTAAAAATTGCTTGATGCTTACGACGCTTCCAACGCTACGATACAATCAGTATAGAATGATCTTTACAGAAATTTTATCTGCGGCAATTCTGAGGGCCATAGCACACAAAATATTTAAGCAGTAAAGGTAAATTTTCATGAGCTGCTCTAACAGGCTGTTTCAGCGATAAAAAAATCATCAAAATGATCAAAATGAACGCTTAATATTCATCAATTTTGATTTCATTATGATCCTTTTGTCGTTACAACAGCTGATTGAGCAGCTCTTAAAACGTAAGCAGTAAATGAATTGATCAATCACAGTAGAGTTCGTAAGGCTATAAGGGCTGGTTTTCACTTGATTAAAATTGATGCTTGATACATCTTACGAAACTATTACGGATTTTGCAGCATCCCTTAACATAACTCCCACACATAACCTCAACCGCTAACGAAATACAAAGCTCACTCCGTTAACGAAATCAACGGAGTACATTCTTCTTTTTCAATTTTGGCGCCTGCCTTTAGTAAATTAGGGAGATGAATAGCGCCACAACGAAATACATAGTGTCAGAGGAACAAGGTTTGAGTAGAGGTTGGAATAAGGTTGGAGTATATTTATTTTTTACGTCATTAGAGCGATCCAAATATGGCGGTGCAGGAGTGATGGTAGGGATCCGATTTGGTAGTAGGGGTTCGAATGTCTATAGGACTCTCCATTAGGAGTATTCACTACCCATCTATACATTCTTATTTATACTATGCTCCACTGGCTCCACTGTGCTCTTGGCAGACGCGATTATCGGGGATGCAAGTCAAATCTCGGGGCCAATGTCGTGTAAGGCCGTTGGTTTCGCTGACCTACGATCTCGCCGGCGTTTCATGAGCCTCGACAGGGCACGTGCTAACGCGCGATACCACTGCCGGCGATCGGCGATTTACAATCGCATGCGTCCGCATCAACGACGTTACGACGAACACGTTTCATCTGTACGATCTATGCCCGACCGCGGCAAGGACGCCGCTGTTACCCGATTACAGATGCGCACTTCGACAACGATCACATCCGTACCGGTGAGTAGACGAGCCTGCCAGAGAATCGAAATTGTGATCAACATCCAATCCTGATGATACGGGAGAAGAAGGTACCTTCTACGTCTTTCCATTGTCACTCCGTCACTCCAACAGAGATTATTCGGGATCATTTCTCATGTGGCTTTGCTACGAAAATCTGAAAGCCGAGATTATTTTTTGTTTTTATTAAAGCAGTTTTAATTATCACTAGAAAAATTATAGTTTTAATTTTGAGCGCACGTAAGGATGTATATTTGTTCAAAGAGCTTATGCATGTGTTCAGATATGATAGAGACAAATGTGAAAAGAGAAAGTTTTGTTTGATCAATTTATTTATTCGTTTTACATGCACCCGAATATCTTCCAATTTCGCTAGACTCTGAAATAACTGGTAGAAAAAGAGTAACTTTGTTCCCTGACATATCTTACTTCGTTTTGTGTCTACATATTTATCAAGAAACAAGTTTGTTCATTTATCTCATTCTCTATGTTATATAATATAATAGGTTCCAGCTTTGTATCCAAGATTCATTTAATTGAATACATGCATTTTAATGAATTTGTACCAATATTTTATCTTAAATGTGGCGCTTCATAGATTTTAAATTTATATATGTATTAAAAACAAAAGAATTCTGTCTGATGAGCAAAATTTTATGATTCTGATATTTATAAAACATTTATTCTCTATCATGTAGATTAATTTTAATCTCTGTTGAATTTATTTTTCATTTTTTTTCTAAAAATTAGAAAAATATGAAAAGTTAAATCAAAATTAAAATTAATCTGCATCGATGAAAGTCGATATTATTTTATTGTACATTGATATTGATATTATTATATATTTAATATTGATTTTTTTTTATTTTTCTTTTTATAGTAGTCATGGTTGAAATACCAAAGGATTGTGTCTTGCAGTGGGCTGGCCACGCGGGATATATTACAGAAAGATTCAGTGGTCTTTTGGCACGTCAGGCTCTAGTCGATGTCACATTGATCTGCGATGAACAAAAGCTACGTGTTCACAAGCTGGTTTTAGCTTCGAATAGTATATACTTTGAGGTATATATACAAATATTGAAATGCATATTCCTATTGTTATTTGTTAATCATCATGTATTCTAAAAATTGTATTTATATGTTTTATATGTTTTAATTATTTGTACATTTAAATTTTAGTGCCTGTTTTTAACAACATGTGTATTTTTATATAAATTACATTTATCAAAATGTGATAGATGTTTTCTTTTTTATATATAAATGTATGTTTGCGAATATTCTAAATATTGTACATATTAAACAATTAATAATTTATTTAAAGGAATTATTTTACTGGTTAAATTCAAGATTTGAATTGTAGATTTTGGGATTTACATTTGATAATTGCAAAAGTATTTACAAAATACTAAAGTGCTCTAATAAAAGGTCATATGTTTTGCCATTTTCTAAACACATCTTCAAACATAATTATCAAATATATTAAATATATTATAAATTTATATAAGAAATAAGACAATTTTTTTCAAATGTTCCAAATGTTTTATAAAATAGCATAACAATAAGAAATTATTGACAAAAATATTGACAAAAATAATATATATGAACTTTCTTTGTTGTATATGATAGCATTTAATTTTATAAAGATAATTAGAAAGTATAGAGATAAGAAACTTTTACCAAGTAACATTAATTGAGTTATTTATACTTATTACAGAAAAAATTATTTTAAATTTATTTAAATGTATTGATGTTGATTAATGTTTGGATGTGCATCTCTTTTCCTTCCAGATTGACTGATGACTGAGCAGTATTATTAAAATTTTATTGAATGAATTTTTAAAGATATATTCTTTTAAGATTTTATTTTATATTATTTATGTATAGAATTATTGATTAAAAGAACATTTATAATAACTATTTTTCTTGTTGAAGCAAGGTTATGGCCAAGGTAATGGTAATTTGGAATTATATTTTTGTGATTGTATTTATTCTATTAGTGATGAACAAAATTTTTTGTATATTATTTTTAAAAGAATACAGAAAGGTTCTACATGTACAAATATATGTATAGTAAAGAAAGATGATTTATTGTAATATATGTAGGATTATTTAATTAGATGTATATGACATACCTATATAATTACAAATATATTATACATTACTTCAGGATTTATGAATATTGTGCTAGTTCAAAGCAAAATAAATTTTTTACTAACCGATTTTCCACTAAAATGTCTACCAAACATTCTACATTTATAGAAAGACTTTGGACTTTTTTTTATTATTGATATAAACAATAATAGAAAAGAAAAAGGTATTTTATTATATTATTTCAAAATTGGGAAATATAGTGTACTTATGGTAGAACAATTTTGCAGGGATAATGTAAAATTCATATAAACTAAAGAAAGCCTTGTATATCGGAATTTCAGTAGTTCTTAACAAACATTTGAAGAAACCAAGTTTGAGGGGCATACTTTTCACAACTTTCGAAGAACTTAGAAAGGTATTAAATAACCAATTTATATGCTCTAAGGATAGTAAAGTATGTACACTCTCAGGTGTTTCTGTTTTCTAAAAAATGCATTACTCTACAAGGTATATGGAAATATTCTGCTTGCATGATTTTACTATCTCTCTGTATGCAACTTGAGGAATCATTATTGCACAAATTAATATCTGACAGTTTGAAAAAGACAAATTTTAAATGCATACTGAACAAATATTAAAATGAATCTTCAACAATATTAGATATTCTGTATGGGCATCTACTTAGACGTTCTCTTTATTCTCCAATTATTTTATCTTTTTAATATTTTTCGTAATGTTTTATTCTGTTTCATATTATAGGAAATACTACAAGATTTAGGACAAGAGCCAATTATACTTTTAAAAGACTTGGACTTTGAAATTTTGAAGGCCATGGTCGAATTCATGTATTGCGGAGAAACTACGATATCTCATCAGCATTTATCATCCTTGCATACTGCGGCACAAATTTTTAAAGTATATAACAATTATTTAATCAACATAATAACATGCCCTACAATTATTTTAATATGTAAAATTAATATATTTGTTATTTCTTTTTCAGGTTAAAGAATTGGTATCTGTGATCGATACTATCGTTGATTCCAAGAAAATTTTGGATAATTTTGAAAATTGCCTAAAGCAGGAGAAAGGAGATAGTAGTTTAAAAATTACAAACAACTCGCTCACAGAAGATTACATCTGTGTTAGATGTGATAAATTAAGCATGGACGAGAATACAACAGTCTGTGAAAATAGCAATAATAACGATATAAGCACAAATAAAAGTCAGTTTTTAGAGAACGATATGGTTGAAGCCACCGAGCACGATTTAGAACATACTTTGTACGAAGACTCGGACGCCAGCAAGAAAGATGTAGTAGATACATCATTTTCAACGTCTGATGTAAATATAAGTATACAAAATGATGCTACTATCACTAATACTGTACTTACGCACGTAGGTATGATAAACGAAGTACAAACTATGTGCACAAACAGCAATGTGTACTGTCATAATCTCGATTTAAAACCTATCTTGTATGAACAATGCTGTGATTTTTCTTGCGACGTAAACGAAAGCGATCAAACCATTTCTACACTGTCGCAATCTTGCCTTCCACAAATCGAGAATGACTTGGAGCACTGTTCCGGAAGTAGCACAGATGTTCCTAGCACGGTAGGGAAATGCGTCAAAGTTTATACGCCCAAACGACGTAGATCCATGGACGATGTTCGTAATAAGCTTGTACATACGCAATGCAATTTAGTGCCAACTCCGCCACACTCTACAGATTCCATAGATTTATTAGATGAACCGTCCACTAATGATGTACCAGTTAATCTATTGACCTCCCTAGATATGGAAAGCGCCGAATATATTTTAAGCTTAAGTACAGAAAGTATACAATCGATAGTAGGTGGTACTATAAGTAATCAACATACGGTAATTGGATACAGAGAAATAAATGTGGAACGAGACACCGCTAAGGAGAGATTAAATTCTCCAATAAATGACACGGATTGCGTGAAACCGATTCTAAGACGTAGTATGCGACTGAGTCAACAAGAGAACGACGAGACTACAAGCAATGGCTTGGCATTTTTAGGCAGTTCCTTAGGAACCGAAAAATCATTCAAGAAAGGTAATTCACCCAACAGAACGGAATCGTGCGCGAGAACGAAACGCAAGGGAAAGGAGGATCGGAAAGTACCAGATCATAGTGTAATCGCGAGCGCAGTACAATCTAACAAAAAAAGCTCCAACAGTAAGAAAACTAACTCAAAATTGATAGTAAGAAAAAATAATAAATCTACGTATACAGTTACTGGTAGCAAAGAAAGGGAAGAGTTGAGATCAAAGGAAGAATCGAAGCCGAAAGCAAATAGTAAATTTAAGACCGAAAATACAGAAAGATCGATGACAGTGGACCAACCCACCACTCATCATTCTGTAAAATCCAATGTGTGTAAGTGCATAAGTCGCGCTTTGTGGGGCGACATGTCTGATACATTGGATTATTGGGAGAATGAGATGGATCTGCTTGCATATCCGTCCAACACTGAAATTCCCTTTGCTGTCGGTTTGCTACCTTTACGAACTGCTCTGGAGAAGATGCAAGCAACGCCAGATTATCAACCACGCAAAACACGCTCATCGGTCGCGCCGATAAAGCAAGATGCAAGTAATTCTCTAAAACGAAAATACTGCACGCCACTCGACGCTGTGGTACCATCGAAAAAGCAAAATGGCAATAGTAATGACGAAGGCCCGAACACCGTATGTCACATAGAAATACGAACAGCACCTTCACAGTGCATAAAAAATCGTAAACGCTTTCTCCCGGATTCGATTACGAGCCTGCCAACAAATGGACCGACATCACAAATGGCAAGCAATAACGTGGGTTAACATTTATTTATAATAAAACCTTCCGTTAGGTATACCGTAATTTTGAATACATTGTTAAATGTCGTTGAAAGACAGCAGCAAAATATTAGTATCAGATTCTGTTTTTAAGCCTAATCGGCGCGAGAATAATTAAGATTAATAATTTATTTTCTTCGCCATATTTATAGAGTCTACTCGTAACATTTGAATATCTCACAATTTGTACAATGATAAATAATCTTAATTTAAATGTAAATAGTAATATTTTTAAATATGATTTTGCACAAACTCTTGCAATCATATAATTACATATATTATACTTTGCAAATGATTGTATTTTTCTTAAGCCATTCGTATATTGCGGGTAATTTCATATTTTGATAATGTTAATTGTAATTTAACTTTAAATACTATTAAATTTGCAATTGTGTTGATAGGTAGAAAGAAACAGAAGTGATTATATTCCTCCTTGTTATATATCCTTAACAAATATATTTTTAAAATAGTACCATCCATTTTCGTTTTGTTCATAACAGTTGCAAGAATAAGTTATACATAATTAAATTTTACCAATTTAGCATAATATTGTTAAAATCAAATACAATAATATATTTTTCATCACGCACATGTGGTTGATCATCCTTTGTTTGCGTCGCATGTTTCAGCATGCTCTAATGGGCTTTTGCTATAACTTCTACTCACTTCAATGGACGCGTTAGAATGAGTAAATGCTATGATAAGAGCATTTTAGAGCATGTTAGAATATGCGATGCGAACAAATCTTAGGACGTAACCTCTTACATAAGAATGAGTATCATATAAATAATTATTTATATTTAATAGAAACGCATATCTAGAATTTATTTTAAGCAATGCAAAATGATTGTGTAAAAAATAAGGACTATCTATTTTTATAAATTTTTGTTTTTTAATTGTACACACACATTTGTAGAAATAGCTCTATAGAATAATTTTAAGACATTGTACCTTAAAAAATATAGCAACAGTAACATTTTTAAAATGAAACAATGAGCTCATGCTAGCGTGTAACTAATAACTTAATAACATAAATTTAAAAAGTGTAATAAATAAAAAGCAATTTGTACGAAATATAGTGAATTTTGTGATGATAATTTATTTATCATTTCAATGTCGACAAAGTGTATTTCTTTTATGATTCTTTTTTACTTAAAAAATATCTTTTAACTAGAATAGATAATGTATGGTGCAACTAACTCAATATAAGAAAATGTGCTATATAAACGAAGATGAAGTTATGTGTTTCAAAGTTGCGTTGAAAAATGCGTTTTTAATATAGTGTACTTTTTCAACGCAATTTATCAAATGTAATTTACAATCATACATTAGATTTTGTACATTTAGTCACAGTATTCTTAGGATTAGACAGTCGCTGCTCAATATAAAAGGATTGTTCGTTGTAATAACAATTAGTAATATTTAAAGTATAACTATATTTATAAACATACATGCATGACTGTACATATATATTAATATTATACATATATACACATATATAGATATATATTTTTCCACAATAAATGTTTTCGACAGAACTTACAGTTTAGCATTATCAATGTTATTTTATAGAGAACTGAACCAGTTTTTTTATCGAAAGAATTTAAATGATAAGAAATTAGATTTCTAATTATATTTTCAAAATGAAAATGTCAAGTGTCTTCATTCTTTAAGATCTAACAGGATAAATGTAGAGTATGCAAAATATTTAAATAATTCATATATATATATATAGACCTATTATAAGCGCCTAATTCATCTATTAAAATATATATTAATACTGGTTTCGAATAATATAAATTAATTTGTTCTCAATTCAACTTACTCTTCATCTTTTTCTAACTCTTGGAACTAGAAAAAGATGAATTAAATCGAGATTGAAATTAAATTAAATAGAAACGGCGTAAGTAATTTCTACAATATTATAGTGTAAAAATAAAGTATTAAGGCTGAAGAAGGCATGGATAGCGAGCGCACGAGGAAAGACAGAGATTGAAGAAAGTAACACGGCAGCTTCTATTTATAGCTACGTAATTTGATTGGTCGCACAAATACGACGACACGCGTGTAATCCATGCACGCCTAGGCAACGATCTCCATTAGCGTGCACATATTTGCTTATTTCTCAGGTCAATCGTCGTGCGGTCAGACTCTAATATTTGTGTGCGAGGGAAAATTGGCTTTATAAATGAACGCAGATATACGGAAACTCCTTCGATTCACGCATTTAACTCAAAATGCGATTATGTCAGTATCTCCAATAGAAGAAAAAAGAGAAGAATAATTAAAAGCGATCGAATTAGATGATCAAGATTTGTTTTTTATTTCTGCACTGTATTAGAACTTTCTTTCTTTCGTCAAAAAATTGTCAAACATACCTATTTCACTTAAGTTCCAAAAGTGTATATTAGTTTAGCCATAGAAAAAAAACAGACCGGTATTCATAGATAGTTCTTATTTTTAAGATCGTCTTAAGTTACACTCTTAAATTGTCGCGAACTAATCAGAGGGCCATCTTAAGATATTATTTAAGCCTGTCTTGAAAATAAGAATGGACTGATGGTATTGTTTTTATCGCGTAGCATCGCATTTTTGTTCCACGCACACCTGAATCCAATATATCGTGTAGAATTAAGTTCCTTGTCGCGACAATTTATATAAATAACATCCCTCTAGATATCAACCTATATTAACTAAACTTCGAGTACATAACGCCACATAATAATTGAGGTCGTTAACTGGGAAGATTTTGATTAACGAGCTCACTTGGAATCCGATCGCAATATCTTTGCTTTCTGTAAACGCGCTACTTCTTCAGGAGAAACAAGTTGATTGGAAAGAGATTCGATTAAGGTCCGATTCTCGTTAAGACCGTCAAGATCGTTTCGCGAACAATACGTGTTTCGTTTAGATCTATTATCGCTGCAATAAGAGCCTGTAAATTTTTTCATTTTGCTGAGAATCGCAGCCGTTTTTTGCATTTTCCGTAATAATTATATAAACTTGTTGAATAATTAACTATCAGATTCGCAATAGCAAGTTCGACCATCAGTAATATCAGTAATATCTTTAATGCTCTGCATTTTTAACTAAATTCCTTTGCATCGTTTATCTTGTCTTTTTTTTTTCAACGTAATAAGAAAAATTATAGGAAATATAAATAGGAAGCTCTGAAAGGGATAGATTGTGAATTGTCAGACAATATATTGGAGATTACTGCAAATTAAGTTATTTAAAATGTAAAAGACCGGTTTCATCAATTCCAAGGAGAAGAAAGAAAGTTAAAATAATCATATATTAATCGATCAATGATGTCATATTGATTAATTATTACATACTTTAACTTTTATTATTTTTCTTGGGATATAAAATTAATTTTAATTTCGATTCAATTTATGCTTTATCTTTTTCTAATTTTAAGATTTTTTTTTAAGAATTTTCCTAAGAATTAGAAAAAGATAAATAGTTATAACTTACTTTGATGGAACTGAATCAAAGAACGTAATCTAAAATTTTGTACGTTACACTTTTTGCACTTCAAGTGAAATAGATGAATAATTCTGAATCTAAATTAAAAAGGAGGAAAATAAAAGGAAAATTTAGCTAAAGTATATCTTAACTAATGAAATATTGATATTTGTATCTGTTTATTTGAATTATATTACTATATTGTGCTTTTTGCATTTCAAATTAAGTAGATATTAAACGTCAGAGAAAGAAAAGAGAAGAAATGAAAAATATAAATTTTGTTCGATTTCGAAAAATAAATCGATTGTCACATTTTATTTAGCGGGAAACGCATTATCGACTATTTTATCAATCAAAACTTATATCTCGATCGCAGTCGCAATAATTTCATGCATAGTAACCTTACAGAATAACGATCGAATTCGAGAAATTAAATGAGGGTACGTGTTAATATGAAATTATTCCAATTGAAATTGTTTATAATTAATTTCCAGATTTTTATTGTGTTTTCTAGGAAAAATAAAATAATTCCGATTATGGAATTTATTTTGAACAATTCCATAATATGTTCCCAGAGACGCAACATCAGGGCCGTTATTAGAAAATTTAACCGATTTTAACCGATATAGAAATCGGGGCGTTTCAATATCAATCGGATCGGGAATATTAAGGAATGTCACGGCATTAGCGCCGTGAAGGAGGATGCGACAGCGCAGCCACGATGTAATCAATGAGCTTATATTGATCTCACCCTTTCGCCGGTGTGTCCGACACCACAAACGTGGCGCGTATCGCGTTGGAATCTTCCCGGAGGCTCAACGGCGCGCGACCGATTCGAAGTCGAAAGCTCGCGTTGCGCGAGAGCGTGAGATGGTCTTTCCTTCCTTCTTTTCTTTTTCCTTCACTTCCGCGAAGACGCTAATGAAAATTTCCGACGTATGCGGAAATCTTATATCGGTATTTATAACCGATTTTTATAT